TATAGCTTATTCCTCATCCATTTAGGCCGTTAAAGGTAGCTGATTCTTTATACATATGTAATTATTTATGGCTTATAAAATATGTACATAATGTATAAGGATAAACATTGTTTTTATAACTTATTCTAATTTTATTTCTGTGAAATCCTAGTGATATTATATGTACAATACTCAAGGGGATTTCACAGTTAATTATAGAATTATTAAATATAAATTATGAATTAAGATTAAATGTAAATACATATTTATTTAGGGGATTAATAAACGTACCCCCCTTTTCTGCTATCCACACCCGGTTTTTCACACCTGGTTTTCTGCTTCTACACCTGGTTTTTCCCAGCCTTTGCAATTCATTTTTTGGCAATTCTAAATGTTCTAAAAATCTTCTAAAATTAAAAATTCTTTTTGGGTATGTAAAAAATACTCAAAAGAGAAATTTCAATTTTAACTTATTAGGGGGTATCAAATATAACCTTCTGCATATGAATTTTTGAAACTCCAAAGTACATTTAAATTTATCATTGATATTGCCAAATCTTTGGGAAATCTATAAAGAACAAAATTTGATTTCATTTTGGAAATACCAATGTTGTTGGTTTTGAGTAATAAGCAAATGGACAAAATAAGGAATATCTTGAATTGTACCATCTACATGGAGAAGAAAAACTGAAAAATTTACAATTAATAATAATTTTTAGCTATAATTCAAGTTTTCAAAAATTCAGAGGGAGAAAACAACTGGGAAAAAATGGGTGAGAAAAACAAAAAAAATTGAAATGCTCTTTTGTAAATTTTTAACATGCCCAAAAAGAATGCTGGATTTTAGATGATTTTTAGCATATTTGGAATCCCCAAAAAATGAATTAAAAAGGCTGGTAAAAACCAGGTGTAGAAGCAGAAAACCAGGTGTTAAAAACCGGGTGTGGATAGCAGAAAAGGGGGGTAGGTTTATTAATCCCCTTTATTTATTTATTATTTTAACAACAATGTATAATATTTTCCAGTATTCAATTAGTTATTATTATATGCAGTTACTAGGTACATTTCACGTACTGTGAAAGGTGCTCTGTGGCTGACAACTATGCTACACTACATGTTAGCGTAGTTGTTTTTTTTGCTAGAAATCCTGTAGTGTTAGTTCATACTACACACCGCTGAGCTAACTGCCAGTGTAGCATAAAATTTTTCCCTCAAATTGTTTTTAGTGTTAGCTTGAAATAATTGCCACAAAACTAACAAGTAGCGTAACTTTTTCCAATCTAACAAAACTTCCCCTAACCAACAGTGTAACTGAGTTGACGCTAACATTTAGCGTAACTTATACCAAATTAAGCTACACTACACTACACTACATGCCTAGTTACGCTACACTACATTAGAAGTTACACTACACATGTAGCTTAGTGTAACTCATCAATTAGAGAAATTGATGTGTCAAGCTGGATTTTTGCACAACCTATGTGAAATTTTCATATGACTGATACAGCCGAGGTCCACATTGACAATTTTCAATGTCCTGTGATTGCATACAATCCCTCAGAAAATGAACACAACGGTGGGCCGCTACACTAACCGTTGTAAGACTCAAAAGTGGTTGTGAGAACCCTTTTGCTGAATGGAGAAGGGTATGGTGGAGTTGCAAACTCTGCCCTTCTATACTATCAGATAACAAGACCCACCAAGCTTAGCTTGGCAAGTTTTTAATCAAGTGATAGGGTGGTTGGTTCGAGATTTCTTTGTTTGATCACAGTTTAATGATGTAAGAATTTGAGTTTCTGAGAGTATGAGAGTGAGTTTAGTGTGTATTACAAGTGTAAGGGTTGTTATTGGGTGTTATAAAGGTTGTTACAGTATGTAATGGTAATGGTATGGTATGTAATGGTAGGGGGTATGTGATTTGTGGGTACTAAACTGAGGGGAAAAACAACTGGGAGGAGAGCCTCCTTAAGTAGACAACAATGAGTGATTTTGGCTCCAAGGGAGCAAGAGAATGAGAGATTTTAGCTGGTCAGAGCTTTACAATGAGGTATTTTGGCTAGAGAAAGCTGTGTACATGAGGTGTTTTGGCTGGTTGTACAGCCTACATGATGTCATTTGAGTTATTTTAGCTAGAAGAGGCAGTGTACATGATAGGTTTGTGCTAGCCTAGCAATCTGCATGATGTCATACAGACTGCATGAGCTCAGCTGCAGGAAGATTATCACATGACCTGACAAGCTGCATATGCTGTACACCTGACCTGACAGGCTGTGTAAGCTGTGCACCTTTCAGAAGATTATGATGTCATATGTTTACCTGTGTCCTGTAGTGAAGTATTTGTGTAATTTGTGTTGTGTAGTTGTCCTGTGTGGTTGATTGAGTGTGATTGAGTGTTGTACATATCCAGAGGTGTGTAACATCCATGCCAGTAGAGTTACAGAGATGCCTCCAGTGGTGACCATTGTGCTCAAACGGCTTCAACCGTCGATCACTACACCCGGTCCCCTGTATTCACTCCTTCCGCCGCCTTCGAATACTTCCATCGACTCCGCCTCAATTTATTCGACTTCGCCGGCCGCTTAAATAGGATCGACAGCCTTATTCTCTTTGGATCGTTTGAATAGGATCGTCCGACCCGGTTTCTTTGGATGAGGTACGTGATTTCTTTTCTTCTTTTGGGATCTAGATGACGAAGCCTGTACTGATGGTTTGTTCACCATCAGCACTGCCCCCAGCCAAAATCACCAGCCCGAGCTGTCATCTCAAAGCTAAGCCTTCTTGTTGATCCCGAAAACGCAACCGAGGAAGAATCCGATGCCGAGTCCATAGCCGATACCGGAGTCGATCCTTTGAAAATTGCCCAGACCCCTGCAGCCATATTCGTCTTCGGCCTCATTGGTATCTGGTTTCCAGAGTTCACGGATGGTCTTTCCTGGTTTTCGGAGCAACTCAAAAGGTGAGCGCTTCGCTCCTCCTCCTTCTGATTCCCCAGCACCCATCAGTCCATCGTATTAGTAGTAGTAGTAGTAGCATCGTCTCATAGTTGTATCCAAGGTTGTGTTTGCTTATCTACCGTGTCCTTTATCTAGATAAAAATGGCCCGGCTACTTCCTTCACTTCCATCGACCAATCCGAGCCCCGGAACTGATCACTCTTATCCGGGCCGGTTTTCTCCTCCCAATACCTCTTCCAATGGTGGGATTAATATCGATGAGGCAATAGCTCGCCACTTGCGCCCTCCTCCTTACCACAACCTGCCACGTCCCCCCCATCTCCCCTTTCCTCCAGCTGTCTACTCCCCTATGCACGGTGGTGTAGGCCAACGAGGTCAAGGCCGAGGCCGAGGCCGTGGCCGACTTCACCCTGCTCAGTTCAGGATTTGAGGTCGAGCCAATAGAGTTTTCCACCCCAATGGACCGGCCATTGGGGTTCCATTTGGCTATGGTCATGGTCCTGTAAGTTGTTTTTGGAGATTGTTTTTGGGTTCGTTTTCCGTACTGATACATGTTTTGAAGAATTTGATGTCCAATCGTATCCAGGTCAATCCCGATCAGTTCCTAGCGGGTCTCGTTCCTCAAGCTCAACCTGCTGCTCAGTCTCACCCTGCCAGTCCCAACCTGCCCGCTAATGTTGCTAGAGAACCCAGCAACACTGCTTTGGTCGCCTCCAGCGAGAGCTTCAACACCGCCGAAGACTTCTTAACTCCGCAGATTCGAGTTGCATCTCCAACTCCCGCTGGTATGTATGACCCTGATGACTACCATCACTTGGCTCGTCACCAAGTCGAGTCTTTGTTGGATCGACGCGCTGCACCTGAGCGGTTTGACCGCTACGAGTTTACTCCCCAACACTTCGATGATTTCTACCAATCTGCGACAACCGCCCTTGTCCACCACTTTACTCGTCACCCCGCGGCCAATGCCAACGAGAGACAAGATCGTGTTAGGTTGTTTCGCTTCATCACCCGCCGATACCGTACCATGACCCGTCGTGTCGTATGAGTGTAAGTTCTTTCCGTTCGAAGTGTTTGCTCGTGCAAGGAAGTTACTGATTAACTTCTTCTTTACCCAGGTTTCGTCGCCGAGATCGATTCCGCTGCCTGAACATTGACGGACAGCCAACTCCCGGGGTAAAACTTATTAAAGCCAAAAAAATCGCCATATAATTTTCTTTAACCTAAAAAAAGTATTAAAACTTTTCTTAAAGCTAAAAAAAAAAATAGTCTAACATACATAAACTTCAAAAAAAAATCTTGTCTAGTCTCAGCCTTAACTGTTTTGTTTTAGCCTTACTTCTAGATTATCCTGCTTGCTTTTATCAATACAAGCCCAAACCCCTCCCCCAACTTAAAAAAAAGGTTGTCCCCAACCTCAATTTAGCGAGAGACTTGAGTGAGCTTGAAATAAGGCAAGTAAGAAGGAAGAGGAGCAATCCTCAACTAGTAAGGTTACTACCAGAGAGAAAGCAAAGAAAGAAAGAAAAATGATGGAATAAGATGGAAAGATTCCTCCCCCAACTTAAGTAATTTTTAGCCCCATATTCCCAAGTACAGGTGAGTTTCCTCCCCCCACTTAAAAAATGAAACCAATTACATTGATTGATTCTAGTTTTTATCTGAGTAAGTTTTTAGGAAGGATTGGTGTTTTTCCTGATCAAGAAAACAGAAGAGAAATTGTTTTGAGGCAAGAAAGAAAGAGAAAAGGAGAAAAATCTGTGTGAGAAAAAAAGAAAAGATTGAAGAATGCATTTTTTTTTTTTTTTTTTTTGGATGATCCCTATGTATGTTATTATTTTATTATTTTTACGTATGTTTTTGTGTTTTTATATTTATGCAAGTGATTTTTTCTTTGGATTTATGTGTTTTTTTTTTTATGAAAGGATATTAGGCTGAAAAAAACTTAAAGAAATTGATTTGAAACTGATGTTGTTAATTTTTAGAGGTTTGAACAGTTTAGTCTCATGCCCAGGAGGTATACTTATTCAGAGGTGTCCGATGAGGAGCCGCCAGAATCGTTGTCCGAAGTATCCGCCTGTTCCGGGTCTTCATCCTGTTGAATTTCATGAAGTTCTCTTCCACGAGGATAAAATCGTTTGACATGAGATGCTGCGTAAGCTCTTTTTAATTCAATGCCGTCCAATTCTTCCAGAATGTAAGATCCCTTAGGTAATTGCTTCTTTATTTTGAAAGGTCCATTCCAGCGGTGGGAAAAAAGTTTTCCCCATTGATCCTCCAAACTTTTATTGTAAACCAAAACCAATTCGCCTGGATCCAAAGGTTGTCGTAGCCTAGCCGCCATTCGCCGGTCCCAATATCTGATTGAAGATTCCCTGGTTTTCATAAGTTTTTCGTGAGCCAAAGCCAAGATATCCTCCCGTCGCTCCAATTGTTTGGTTCGAGCTTCCAAAAGGTCCTCAGTTGTGTCCACTTCTACCCAGTCTATTCCAAGATAAGTATCCATCTCAATATCCACTGGTAGAACAGCTTTTTGTCCAAACACAAGCTCATAAGGTGAGTATCCTGTCGTCCTTTTTGTTGAAATCCTGTCCGAGAAGAGTACTAATGGTAAATATTCCCGCCATTTTCCTCCAGACTCGCCACACATTTTGACTAGTGTGTCCTTGAGAGGCCGGTGTCCACGTTCAATCATTCCATTTGCTTCCGGATAGTAAGGTGTAGGTGGCTTGTATTCAGCTCCAATGGCTTTAACTGCATTAATAAATTCTCCTTTGAATTCTGGTCCATTGTCGGCTGTTACTGTTTTTATTGAGCCATACCTATAGACCCATTCTTCTAAGAGAAATTTACTGATTGTTGCTGCTGTTAATTTGACCAAAGGAGCTGCTTCCACCCATCCAGATAAATCATCCCGTGCCACAAGCAAGTATTTGTATCGCCCAGCCTTGATGTGACAAACGTCCAACGCCACTCAACCAAAGAGACTGCTTTCACCTGTTGGGTTCCGAATTTCCCTAGGCACTAGTGGATCTCTCTTTTGGCAGGATTCACAGCTTTGAACCCATAGCTTGACTTTCTTTTTCAAACTAGGCCACCAAAACCTACAAATCAGTTGTTGATAAGTTTCCTCTAGTCCTCTGTGTCCAAGATCTTCGTGCATTTTCCGCAATAGTTTACTTTGGTAAGTTATATTGGAAATAACTAGTTGAGCCATTGGCGAGTGCCTTTGCATGAGCCGTCCGTCTTGAATGAAGAATTTTGCTGATTTCCTCTTGAGCTTCTGAAATTCTTCTGGGTCCAATCCTTCAGGTTTCTTCAGAGTGTTCAGATAATCCTTGAGGTCTTTCCAGAATCCAGTTCCCTCCCATTCAAACGACTGTGTTGATATTGTGGTTTGATGGGAAAAAACTTTAATAACTGGTTCATCTTCATCAAAATCATCGGGTTCATTATAAAATTCGTCGTCCTCTTCGCTTATGGGTCGTCTAGATAGGGCGTCCGGTAAAGTGAATGTTTTCCCTGGTTTGTGTACCATGTCAAATGAAAATAGCTGTATGAAAGCCACCCATCTGGTCATTGGTGCACTTGGCAGTGAAGGAGAATTGATCATCTGAATTAATGATTTTGCATCCACTCGAAGCTCAAAATGTTGACCCCAAATCAATGTTTGTAGTTTCTTCAAAATACTAGCCACACCACAGAGTTCCAATTTAGGCTGAGAGTATTTTGATTCCACAGGAGAAAACACCACTGATTCGTAAAGTACAGGTCAATCCAATCCAGTACCCAACTCCACTTGAGAAAGTACAGCACCTGCTGCTAAAAAACTAGAATCCACGGCCAAGATAATGAGTCCTGCGCCTTCCGAGTAATCCAGGTTTTTGAGAGTGATGTCTTCGCCAATTATTTGCTTGAGTTTGTTGAAAGCCTGGTCACATTCTGTGTTCCACGTCCATAGGTTGTCCTTCCTGGTGAGTTTTCTGAGAGGGGCTGCAATTTCTGACAGGTCTTTGATAAAAATCCTGACATAAACTATGATCCCCATAAATCCTCGTAGTTCCGTTAAGTTGATTGGAGTTGGCCAAGTTGTGATTTTGTTCCGCTTTTGGAATGAAACTCGCCTTCCGTCCTTGCAGACCACGTGACCTACAATATCCAGAGCAGGTACACAGCATGCAAATTTCTTTCCTGAGATTGTGAGTCCAGCTTCTTCAATTCGAAACAATACTCTTTCCAGTGTCTGAGCATATTCCCAAATGAAGCGCCTAATCCCCGGATTTTCTTCCAGAACCTGGTTGTCGTACGTTGAAACTGGGCCTTTGATTCCTCCATCATCAATGAAGACACCAACATTATCTGGTATTTCATCTTGGAGGATCCACATCATTTGAGCTTGATATACTGCAACTGAATTGGTTGCACCTTGAGGTAATCGTGTAAGCTGAAATCTTCCTAAGGGTGTATCAAAAGTGGTCAAAGGCCTAGATTCATGAGCCAATTCGCGTTTGTCGTATCCACCTATAATATCCCCGAGTCCGTAGCATGCCCGTCCAGCAAATGATTCGACAAATTCTTCTGTGGCCGGTGGTAATCCCGCGTCTTTGATGGTAACTTTATTCATTTCTTGTAAGTCATGAACAATTCTTAACTTCCCATCATGTTTCGCAACACAGAAAACCGGGCTTGAGTAACTTGAGGTTGATTGTTCGTAGAGTCCTGTCCGTATTCGTTCCCGTACCAGTTCCACGTATTCGCCTTTTATTGCTGCTGGGATTGGTATTGGTTTCTTTTGCCAAGGAACATGATCCACTACTGGTATGACATAAGGTAAGCCATAAGAGTGTTTCAAAAGCCCTCTTTCTTCCATGCAAAATGCCAATGCTTTTTCCCTTAAGACAATTAAGTGCTTGAAAAGTTTTAGTTCTTCGTTTGAAAGCCATCCTTCGGGTCCAAAGTTTACCACTTTTAGTCGTTCTTCCGTGATTTTGGCAGTAGGCGTAAATTCCGGAGGGTTAGGTGTAAGTGGTGTTTTGTAAGGATCCCTTGAAAGTGGTGGCCGTTTGAGAGGTGGATTGAGAAATTGAGGAATGGGCTGATTTATTGGTCGGACTTTCTGTGCCACAGGTTTGTATTTGGTCATACACCATAGGCTGCCTTCCTTCCAACTTTGGCATAGCTTCTGTTGAAACGTCAAGCCCAATCCTTTTGCCAATAATGATCCCATATCCTTATAGCTGAGTTGTTTCCTTGGTTCTGCTACTATCTTGGCTGCATTAGAGGTTGAAATCACTTCTAAGTCACTTCTGATAGTAGCATCTTGAGATTTGGTGGGTTGTTTTATTCCTGTTTTACAAATTTTCAGAAGAAGAAGGAAAATAATCAGAATGTTCTTTTTTTGTAGCATTATCTTAAAGAAATATTTTTTTGTTTGTTTTGGTAGTTTTTTAAACAGATCCAAGAAAAAAGTTTTGAGCCAGTCTAGAAAACCCGGCGTTCGAGATAAAACCCGCTCGACTAGCGTTAGTGAGTTATTCCCTAATTGAACACTGGAATCTATAAAAAAGGCTGAGTAGATTTCTTCTTGAACATTCGATTTTCTTCGCCAGTTTTTTCTTGTTTTTGGACTGGTTTGATTGTGTTGGTGCTGAGGTCCTTTCGATTGTCCCAACCCCTTCCTTGTCCAATCCTGGCTAGAGGTACTGAAACCCTTCTTCCCTTGGTTCCTTGGAAAGAAAGTGTTTCACCGGTTTCGTGGTATTCCAGAGTACATCCGTAGTCAAAAAGAAAAGGTCGTCCTAAGATGCAGTCCTGGGCTTTTGGAGAAACAAAGAGATGGGCTGGTCCGGCGAATCGTCCTATTCCGATGTAGCAATTTTCCGCCACTCCATTTAAATCACATCTGGCTCCGCCTACTCCTTTCATTGGTATGTCAACTTGGACCAATTCCAAATCCAAGTCTTCTGCTACCGTTCGAGGTATAACATTTACCATGGATCCAGAATCAACCATGAAGTCAACTTTAGCTCCCCCAACTTCGGCTGTAAC